AATTTCACACATGTTAGGAGCTGAATCAGTTAGTGACCCGAAAATAAAAGTTGTTCCTTATTGCCAATACTACAACTTTGCTTTAGTGATCTCCTCCATGCAAGGTCTCTAACACCTAGTTCAAACTTGGTCAAACAAGCTACATTCGAAAGATGGTACATACTTAAACTATGACATAATGACCTAATTAGCCCTAGCCATAAATACCAAAGTTGTTCATGAGGATATTCTAAACATGTTTAAGCTATTTGCAAGGTCACACAATCATCTACATGTTTACACTCATGATCATATGCACATACACATGGGAACATGAAATAGTAAGAATGTTGCATATGTTTGAATCAAATGTTTCAATGGTAAATGCTTGTTTATGAATGCTTGATGATCATGCTCATGTTATGCAAGTCAAGTTATGCAAGGCTAACACCCGAGGTGTTACAAGTGTTCTGCTGAGACATCCACAATTAGTCGATATAGTGTCCTATGTTATCCGATCACGGCTGGTCTGCTGGCATCCGAATGGTAATTTCTCTTGTAACCCACTTAACATCGTCCTCGAAAACCCTAAGCACGTCTAACGAGACTTAAGGTAGATGGATGCAATAACATAGTGAAATAAATAAAATGCATATTACGAACGTCCTTATGCTGGTACAACATACAGGCACTTACTCTCCCATTCTCGACATATCGTTCACCTTTTCTAAGATCGGACTACCTCAACAACTACGGGCGAAATACAACGGAAAGATTACAATACCGGTGGACAGCGACGAAAGACACTACTAACTATGGGTACATCATCCCAAAGCAACTAATCTACTTTGGACCACGCATCTTCATTCCTAGGCTCGGTGGATTCTTCTACCGCCCTGGCTATGGATCTGCCTCCTCTCTTGGCAATGGCTGAGTGAGAGGAATTAAGGGTTCTACTTCTAACACTTCTGAGGGTGGAGGTGCTGGCAGTACTGCAACACCGGTTCTCCTTCTTTCTGGCGGGTAGATAGGGATCCCCTCCATGATCAAGGGATCCTGCCGTTCAATAGCCAGCGTCCTTCACTTGGCCATGGTGACAAGGTAGGCCTCTCCTAACTGATGGGCATGTTGATCTTCAGCCTCCTTCAGAGCTTCCGACATGGCAGTCTCCCGACTCTCAGCGGCTGCCGCACTGGCATGCGCTTTGGCAAGCTACACCTGGAGCATCCTAGAGAAGATCTTGGCTTCCTCGACTCGCCAAAAGCACTTTCTCAGCTCCGAGGCTTACCGATCATACTGTTCATCCAGAGCAAGCAGGTACGTGATCAAGTGCACCATGGTAGGACTATCTTCTTGTGCATCCCACCCTTGCAATGCCTCCATGCGAGCCGTCCATGCCCGTCGATTATTTTCCAAAGGTGGAAAGAAACTCATGGGGGTACGAGCAATGGGCTCTTCATAGATCTGGCAAAGGTAACACAAGGCTTTGTAGGCCACAACCTGGTAGGTGTCGATGAAGCGAAACCCAGTTGTGGTCACATTCTAGGCTTCAGTGATGTCGGGGAACTCTTCGCTCTTCCCAATGTAGACGGTAACCTCACACCGCTCAATGCCATGCTTTTCATACTCACGGCCCTCATACTCGGGATGATCTTTAACTCTGAACTTTTGCAGGGTGGCATACGGGATCTTGGGAAAACCCTCAGTGTTCAGGCAGTAACTACTAACCCAGGCTCCTGCCATCGCTGGCGATGGTTGCAAGGAAGGACTGAGCGAAAAGCTGGCTCAAAAGAAAACGCTAGGCGAGCTCAAGTGCACCGAGTGGTGGTACCAACGGCTAAGCCAGACCCTACTTATAAAGGCAGAGCGATTAGTGGTCCTGGCGCGGTCCACCAAGGTTCCAGCACGAAATCACTATAAATGAATCGACCGAATTTTTCGCGCGTTCGAGACGATCGATGTCCGAGGCCATTAATGACTAATACGGCTGCTGGACAAGGTTCCGACAAGAGCGCAGAAAAGAGTACGGGGAGACACGGGTCACGGCAGGCGTGAACCACAGGCGACGCGAAGCACAAAGCCACAGTTTAGCATTAACTCTAGAACAGGAACGAGTCAGTCGTGCACCATACGACACACGTGACACCTATGGATGGCGTATCTGCAAGCAATACGTGCACTACAATGTACAAACAGGATCTATCAAAATACTATTGAATGACTTTTATTTACAGAAACAAAAGTTGCATTTTCATCTATTAAACTACGCTCCAAATTTTATTCAAGTACTAAATACAAGTTATATTTTATTTTGTTTATAAAAATTCTTCTGTGCCAATGTTTAGAACTACTTATTCTACTCTTCGCGTTAAGATTTTTTTCATTAACACATGTAGACATTTACGTAACTAACTCACTATATTAATAGATCTATCTCTCAGGTCATAATCTCAGTGTTTAGTGAGCTCGTAACACCAGAGGTGTTACACCTTCACTCCTGACGCAAGGGTACTTCTGTTATTTATTTGACATATTACATTAGCTTTGTTCTAAGTCAAATATTATGATCCTTTACCATCATTAAATATTTTTTGTTTCACAATATATGAATTATATATTATGAAATCATTTCTTATAGTGAATTTAAAAATATATTACCTCCGCTGTATAATAATAAAATCAATTTCTAGAATCGCCAAATAAATAGTGGCATGAATCTATATAATTTTGATGGAGATCAACGGTTTAAAATATACAAATGTTTGACTAACAAAGCTAGGGGTGCATACACATACAACTACGATTGGGTGCTCTCGACCATATCCAACATCTTTAGAAAAAATTTAGCACGTATACACATATATGGTATTTTAGAGCAAAATTCTTTTTTTATCCTAAAAAGACTCTAGACATAAGATTCTACACTGCTGCCATCGTACTCATCAAAATAGCCACAGACGGACGTGGTTTATTCCCATCCGGCCCACCAGCAACTCGCGAAGGCCCAGCGCGTCAGCGCATCACCAAATCCCACCGCATCCTTTCTCAAACGAACAAAAACCCGCATTCCCACCATCGTAATCCCGTCGTCGACCTCCCGTCCCCGACACTGCTGTACGTCGAAGTGCCGCTGCGCCTTGCGTCCGTGCGCTAGGAACCCTAGCGTCGCTCGGCTCTGGTGGTCCGATGGTCCTCCATCCGGCCTTAGCCTGCACTGGCACCGCCCAGGCCCCTAGCCTCGGCCGCTCGCCCATGGCCGCTCGTAGTCCATCTGGCGCATGGCCTGCAACGGCACGGCGACACCCCAGCGCGGCGGTGTGTTGGTGCCCTGCCTCTCTACCCTGAATGTGAGGTCGCCACGTCTGGCAACGGTGGCTCCGCACGAAGGTGAGATATGAAGGCACCTACAATTATATTGTCCTTGCATGCATGGGCATGCATGGAGGTACGACTTCATGTGGGTCATGGAGGCGCTACTTTATTTGAGTCGTAGAATTTCTATCTAATGCACCAATTAAATGGAACATATGTGGACACCCTAGGAGGCCGCCTTGATGGTGTGCCTTCATATTGAGGCCGCACCGCCTAGGCGGCCTCCCAGCATGTCCACGTAAGCTTCATTTGAGTGGCACGTTGGATAGAAACTGCACGGCCTAGATGAATCACTCTGTTGTCCTTGCATGCATTCAGCCATTCATGTTGGTAGATGAACCAACAACTCATCCAAGTGGGCGCATGCTCATTGAATGCAGCTGGTGGATAAACGAGAAGAGCATGTACCGCCACCATCCACCACTTTGGTGAAAGCAGGTGGACAAACATTTAATGCTTGTTGTCCTATACAAATAAAAAATTATTATCAGTAACTTCAAAAAAAATGTATTATTAGTAAGTAAAAACAGGCCGTGACTTTTAGGATCATAGTATTACCACACATTTCTCCAGCTAAATTCATGAGAGACATATATTCTGTAACTAAACTAACAAGATTTACTTTACACCCTGCATGGCAATATATTTTTTATGTTCGGAGAAGGTCGAAAGAAGGTGGGCACATTTAATGCCATCCTTTACATGCAGAGATTTTTTACACGCGCGAAGTAGGTTGAAAGCAGGTGGGCACATTTAATGCCTCTCCTTTACATGCAGAGATTTTTCACACGTGCAGAGACGCCTGCTCCTCCTACAACTTCACATGCCTACTGAGGCTTATCTTGCCAAGCACAACCAGCAGACACATTATATATGTCCCATGGTTGCCTGCTTTTATGTTGTGAGTAGACTACTGTTTACTTAGTCGTGGCATTGAAACACCATCGAAAACATAATCTAAGAGCAACCGCAATGTTGCAGAAAAGTAGTCCATAGGTATTAGAATAGTCTACCAGCTAGCTGAAACATTGTAGACTTTGTATGTTTCAGTATGTCTTTGGTTACATGACACATGGCAGGTAAGTTAATGCACTTATAGAATGTCCCTAGGTACACGTGAATTTTTGAGAGTACTGCCAGCGGGTGTGCTAGTCCTTGTCGCCATAGGCAAGTGTGCTTGCCCAGAATTATGCTAATGATGCTTAGGCTTCAAGCGTTCTGTGGCCAAGTTGCTTGTTAACACGGTAATAGAGTTTGATTAGGAGACTCTCCTTCTCATTCAATATAAAATACATGTCATCACAAACGCGCACCACATGTATATATCTGAAGGTGGCAAATAGGGGCGGGTACATATGCAAGCTTACACATAGCCAATGTACACAAACTACTGTAGGGATGAACTACAATGAGGGTTTCTCCAGTGGGGATAGAAAAGCGACTCATCATCCAACGTGGAGGCTGGAAAAATCGACCGACTGGACTATACGACTCATGCAGGAGAGAGAAAAATCGACCCACGTTTCAGGGTCGACTCCTCCTGAATAAACAAAGAATTCGGCCCACCTGTACGAGCCAAGAGCGGAGACGAAGCGACGACGCCGGAGCCGAGTCGAGGGGGCCAACAACTTAGGCGGCAACGGCAGGCGATGAGTCAAACAGCGGCGGCGGCGGTAGCCAATGAGTTGAACGGCGGCGGCGGCAGTTTGCATCGTCTCCACACAGAGGGAGCCCGGCCACCCTACGCGGCGACGGCCACCGTTTTGTACGCGCGGCCCTGGCAGCGGCAACGTACACGAACTGCAACAACGGGTGAGCAGTTGAGATGCGCCGGCTTGGACGAACCTTCGTCTGAACCAGGCATGCGGCGACACTTCAGCATTTAGAACCGCCAGAGGTGGAAGAAAGCAGTACGATGGAAGAAACAAAGGCCACGTTGTTTATCGTTTTTTAATTTGTCGTGGGGCCTGTGGTACTATTGGGCCAGGAGTCGACTCATGGGCTCAGTTAACGTGGCTGCCTTTATCTGAGATGGGTCGACTCACACTGCAGGTGTCCCTGAGGCCATAGCTATTGATTCCTCGTATATGAACTACAAGGAGGACACATGGAGACACTGGGAGGGCTGGGAGGGGTGCGATGAAGCAATGGATGACACATGCTTATATAGGCAAGAGTTGGAGGAGGAACGGGTGCCTCTTCATGTATGGGTGCAGATACAAGTATGGTAGCCATATTAATGGCGACCAACCCCAACCACCGACCACCTCGGTAGCAACGTGCACACAACCCAAGCCGTCTCTTAGATGCATGGATGCATGTGTAAGTACAAATGTTCCTGCATGATCGATGAATTGTTTTTATCTGATGGTAAGGAGGAGAGGCATTAAATGTGTCCACCTGCCCAACTTGTTTTTATCTGATGGTAGCATGGAGGGGAGGCATTAAATGTGTCCACCTGCTTTCGACCCACTCTGTGTAGGTGAAGATATTGAGTGCTTTCAAATTTACTGAGTAAATTTCTGGATAGCTTAGGAAGGCACTCGTGCATGCATAAAAATTTCCTGCCTATTATCTATTGATAGTAAATTCATTAATGTAAAGGGAGAAGACACATGTGATGTAAATTTCTCATGTCATAATAACTTTTTTTATGTAAGGACACGTGAAAGCACAGTGATGTAAATCCCCCTACCGTAGTAACTTTTTACATGCAAAGTACACCTACAGTTTATATTGTCCTTGCATGCATGGTCATTTAATTTTTCATCTACTTCATTGAATGCGTTCACTTGCTTCATCTATCCACTGCTGAATGCATAGAGGAAGGCTGATGGTGACGCGTTTTATCTAAGTCGTGGAATTTCTATCTAACACGCCAACTAAATAGAACATACGTGCACACCCTAGGAGGTTGTCTAGATGGCGTGCCTTCATATCTCTAATATAATCGATGCAGTGGGGAAAGTTAGAGCAATCCCAGTGTATATTATCTAACTCCCTCTTAACCGATCTCTCTTCGCTAGGATCATGCGACGTAAGCCTTCTGTTCACGCCACTCGGCAGCAAGATCTGGAACCTGTACACTCTTGAACGATCATCTTCCTTGATCTCATTACAATACTGTGTTAAAGCATTTCTCTTGGATCCTCTGCTTGCCTCTGCCATCCTACAGCAAAACCTACTCATCACTTAATCTTCATATGAAGTTGCATTGCAAGAACTACTAACAAGACATGATTCACTTACGGAAACAATCACTTGACAATATTGTTTGTCTGGAAGTGCCATGCCCATGGAATGAACTGCAATAGATATATTTAGCCATTAATTTGATTGAGGAAGTTTTTTGAAGCAATACAAAGATGCGAACCTTTGGTTTTGGGTGCTTACTGACAGATGGAATCGGAGCAGACCTTGTGCAAAATATTCTTCCCGGTAACAGCAACCTCAGCTTGCTGGCATTACGCCAAGCACCTTGCGTGCGCTCTCATGACTGTTCTCCTGCACATGACTGTTGACATGGAACAATTCAGCTGCACGAAATAGCAGTGGAGGCAGAGCACACGGGGAGGCGGGACTCGGGAGTACGAGCGCCTGATGAGGCTGGTCTCGTCGGGAACCGCAGCGAGCAGACTGGACGGGCTCACCTGCTGGAGGATGTTGGGGGAGGGGACCAGCATGGCGCCCTCAGCTTTTGCAGATGCCTCGTGAGCAGACTGGACAAGCTTTTCCATATGCCCTCAGGTCGCCCGCACGGGCCGCGCCGCCTTGCTGATAGCTGGCAACTGCGCTTGTGGTCCGCACCTCCGCGGCCGCGGTCGGCTGCCCTGGGACCACGCCCGTGCGAGCCGTGCTCGGCTTGACAGCGCGGGTCGCGCCGCCTCGCTGGTGGCTGGCGCCTGCGCTGCCACGGCGGCGGCCGCGCTTGTGCGCGGTTGGTTGCGCCCTTGCCGTGGCCCATGCATCACGGCCGAGGAGGCGGTTGCGGAGGAGGCTAGGAGCTGGCGGCGCGGCAAGCGGAGGCCGTAGGCTGGCCACGGTTGCGAGGAGTGGGAAGCGGCGATCTCCGGGGCTGCGAGGAGTAGGACGGGATGCCTCTTGCCATGGCCCATGCGCCGCGGCCGAGGAGGCGTTCACGGAGGGGCTGGCGGCGCGGCAGGCGGAGGCCGTTGGCCGCCGGCTTGCAAGGTGGAGCGTGGTGGGATCAGGACCTCGACCCGGGTTCGCGACAAGTGAGTGGCCGGGTTTGCGGGTTGATGGGTGACAGGCCCAGTAGAACCCGCATCGAATGGTTAGTATTGTACGAGGGGACGATCCAACGGTTAGCGGGTCGCCACTTTGCCAAGCCTGTATCGAGTTAGCGCTGCGCCAGCTCGAGGTAATCCAGTGGAGAGGTCCTGCTCGATATCCATTAAAGATTTGGCTGAAGGGATGTTAAAAGTACAGCTATTACGTTAAGAAAACATTTGTTTTATTCCATGAGATCGATGTGCTGAGAAAGAGAAATATTTTCAAGACTTATATTCAGTTTTAGCACCATTGAATAACATTCAGGCTGAGTGATAACGGAAAATGTTATATATAAGTAAGAGCATAAAAGCTCAGAACATTTGTTTCAGAAAATGTGGTCAATATAAGAGTATAAAACAAAAGTGAGCTACTGATTACTAAAGGATGGGATCAACTGAAACCGAAAAGGTGCATCACTAATAAAGTGCAGTTTGCTGATGGTCAAATATAACAGCCGCATCTTGAAAAGGTTTCGGATGTTCTAACCTGATATCATCAGAACATTTGTTTCGGAAACTGAGATCATCAGAACATTTGTTCTAACCTCATGTCAGCCTCTAAACATTGACCTAAATGATATTTGTTTCAGTGAACCTGATTTCATTGACTGAATGTCTGAATTGAACATTAGAAACTGCAGCCAAAATTAATTTTTCAGTCAACCTGATATCATTGATTGAATCAAAGTAGCAGCTCAATGCTGCTAAAAAACAAGGAATCAGTATGTCATGTGGGGACGCACATATGCCAGGAATAGAAGGGCCCGGGATGCCAGGCGTGCAGCAGCGCGCCAGGGCGACATGGCCGCCGCGGTCACCACGGCAGGCGCCAGCCCAGGTGTCGGTTTAGGAAGTGGCTAGAATGAAGGGAAGTCAATCAAGTGAATGGCTAGAATAAAGGAAAGATACCCTCTAATTTAGGAGTGATTTGTTAGAGTCTGTCAAGGCTATAGCCTATAAGAGTCTTGTAATCCATAATTTGAGAATCAAGCAAGAACAATTATCTCTCTCTCCCTCTCTCAACCAAACGGGCGCTGAGGGGTAAAACCTCGCCCCAATCACGGATCACGGCTATGAACTACGTAGCCGGGGTGCGCCTACCTTAACCCTCGACGCCCTTGACAACCTGGTATCACGGTCTAAGCGATCTAGTTCATCCAGTTCGCCACCATCCGTCGCCGTGCCGTCACCATCGCCTCGAGTAGACGCCATGGCCGACAACACCATCAACACCGCGGCCTTGCAGGCGACTTTGGACTCCCTGGTCGCGTCCATCAGGACCCTCCAGACATCCGTGGAGGCCAACGCCCTGGCCATCCATCGCCTGGACGCCGCGCACCCGCCGCCGGGGGGATCGTCATCTTCCGCACATTCCAGGTCAGGGGAGCACCACCAAGATCGGCCGCCGCGTTTCCAAAAGCTCGACTTTCTGTGCTACGATGGCAAGTCGGATCCCCTGATCTTCATCAACCGTTGTGAATCTTATTTTCATCAACAGCGAATCATGGAGGAGGAGAAGGTCTAGATGGCGTCGTACAATCTCGAGGACGGCGCCTAGATGTGGTACTACCAAGTCCAGCAGGACGAGGGTACTCCTTCCTGGCGCCGCTTCACGGAGCTCCTTCACCTACGCTTTGGTCCTCCCCTCCGCTCCAACCCCCTCGGTGAGTTGGCGGCTTGCCACCGAACCGGTACCGTGGAGGAGTATCAGGACCGGTTCCATGCCCTGCTACCTCGCGCGGGCCGCCTGGATGAGGCACAGCGCGTTCAGCTGTTCACCGCTGGCCTCCTTCCACCGCTCAGCCATGATGTCGAGATCCACAATCCCCAGTCGCTGGTGGCGGCCATGAGCCTCGCCCGCAAGATCGACTTGCGGAACAACTACGTCGCGGCCGTGACATGCGTTCCCCAGCGTGATCGGCTGCTCCTGCCGGCGCCCGCACCGCGACTCGCACTGCCGGCGCCCCCAGGGGACAAGGCGGACAAGGCTGCGCCGGCCACGATCACCGTGGAGGGCCGGTCGGTTCATCGGCTGACTCAGGCAGAATAGGAGGAGCATCGTCGTCTCGGCCTCTGCTACAATTGCAATGAAAAGTTCGGTCACGGGCACAATCGGGTCTGCAAACGGCTCTTTCTCCTCGACAGCGTCATCGAGGACGACACCGACGATGGGGCCGTTGCGGATGAGGATGCCGCCGGTGAGGAGACCCCGCACTTCTCCTCAACGTGATCGCTGGGGTGTCTTTCAGCGACACCATGCAGATCCGGGTGGCCGTAGGTGCTGCCGCCTTCACCGCGCTCCTCGACTCGGGATCCACGCACAACTTCATTGCCGAGGATGCGGCTGTCTGCACTGGTCTGCCTCTGCAGCGTCGCCCACGACTCACGGCGACAGTGGCGAATGGCGAGTGGGTTTCCTGCCCTGGCGTCATTCGGCAGGCACCGCTCACCATTGGCACCGACACGTTCCGCGTCGATCTCTTCGTGATGCCACTCGCCGGGTACGACCTGGTCCTCGGCACGCAGTGGCTAGCGACCTTGGGGCCGGTGCTCTGGGACTTTAGCACGCGGAAGATGTCTTTCCAGCGTCAGGGGCGCGCAGTGTGATGGACGGGAGTGGCGATGACCAGCGCGGCCGCCGTCCGCACCACGATCGCTAGCGAGCCCCTCCTGGACGAACTGCTGGCATCCTTCGGGGACATCTTCGCCGAGCCCCAGGGGCTCCCGCCTCCGCGCGCCCGCGACCACAGCATCGTCCTCAAGCCGGGCGCGCAGCCGGTGGCGGTCCGGCCATACCGGTACCCTACGGCCCACAAGGACGAGTTGGAGCGGCAACGCACCGCCATGTTGCAGCAGGGCATCATTCGCAACAGCGCGTCGGCGTTTTCTTCGCCGGTCCTCCTCGTTAGGAAGGCGAACGGATCCTAGCGTTTCTGCGTCGACTACCGCGCCCTGAATGCCCTCACCGTCAAGGACGCGTTCCCCATTCCCGTAGTGGACGAACTGCTCGACGAACTCCACGGCACCCGATTCTTCTCCAAGCTGGACCTTCGCTCAGGGTATCACCAAGTTCGCATGCGGCCGGGTGATGTACACAAGACGGCGTTCCGCACACACGAGGGCCTCTACGAGTTCTTGGTGATGCCGTTCGGGCTGTGCAACGCCCCAGCAACATTCCAGGCGCTCATGAACGACGTCTTGCGCTCCTTCCTCCGCCGGTTTGTCCTTGTCTTCTTTGACGACATTTTGATATACAGCAAGACATGGGCCGACCATCTTCGCCACCTCCGCATCGTCCTCTCCATGATGCGCCAGCACCATCTCTTCGTCAAGCGGGAGAAGTGCGCCTTCGGTGTCGCCTCTGTTTCCTACCTTGGTCACGTCATCTCCGAGGCGGGCGTCGCCATGGATCCGACCAAGGTGCAGGCCATCCATGACTGGCCGGTGCCTCGTTCGGCGCGGGCGGTGCACGGTTTCCTTGGCTTGGCCGGGTACTACCGCAAATTCGTCCACAACTTCGGCTCCGTCGCCGCGCCGCTGACCGCCCTCCTCAAGAAGGAGGGGTTCTCCTGGACTAACGCAGCAGCCGCGGCCTTCGACGCGCTCAAGGCGGCGGTCACCTCGGCCCCGATCCTGGCGATGCCGGACTTCGCCAAGGACTTCATCGTGGAGTGCGACGCTTCTTCGCACAGGTTCGGCGCAGTGCTCATCCAGGACGCGCACCCGATTGCGTTCTTCAGTCGCCCCGTCGCGCCACGCCATCGCTCCCTCTTCGCCTATGAGCGGGAGCTCATCGGCCTCGTCCACGCCATCCGGCACTGGCGACCGTACCTCTGGGGTCGCCGATTCATCGTCAAGACGGATCATTACAGCCTCAAGTACCTGTTGGATCAGCGTCTCGCCACGATTCCCCAGCACCACTGGGTGGGGAAGCTGTTGGGCTTCGACTTCTCCGTCGAGTACAAACCGGGCGCCGCGAACGTGGTGGTGGACGCCTTGTCTCGCCATGACACGGACGAGGGGGTCCTTGTCGCCATCTCCGTCCCGCGTTTCGACTTCGTCACGTGCCTCCGTCAAGCGTAGGACACCGACCCTGCCCTCGTCACCATACAGGACGAGCTCCGTGCAGGCTCCCGCGGCGTACCATGGACACTCGTCGACGGCATGGTCCAGTTCGGTGGCCACCTCTACATTCCCCCGGCGTCCCCGCTCGTCCAGGAGATCATGGTGGCCGTGCACGAGGACGGGCATGAAGGGGTCCAGCGCACACTACATCACCTCCGACGCGACTTCCATTTTCCTAACATGCGATAGCTGATGCAGGACCTTGTGCGCTCGTGCACGACATGTCAGAGGTACAAATCGGAGCACCTCCACCCGGTAGGGATGCTACTTCCCCTGCTAGTTCCCCAGGGGGTCTGGACGGACATCGTGCTCGACTTCGTGGAGGCATTGCCGCGCGTCCGTGGCAAGTCCGTCATCTTGACGGTGGTGGACAGGTTCAGCAAGTATTGCCACTTTATTCCCCTGGCGCACCCATACTCCGCCGAGTCCGTCGCGCAAGCCTTCTTCTCTGACATCGTGTGGCTTCACGGCGTTCCCCAATCCATGGTGTCTGACCGCGATCCAGTCTTCACCTCGACATTTTGGCGCGAGCTCATACGCCTGATGGGCGCCAAACTCCACATGACCTTGGCTTTCCACCCTCAGTCCGATGGCCAGTCAGAAGCTGTCAACCGC